CATAGCTTGGCCTTCACTAAGCTATAGTCTGGTCATTATAAAAAGGGAACAAAAAATTACTTGGATTTGCAAAATGAAGGTTCTTAGGATTTAGTTCATGAAAATAAGGGCAACTGATGCATGAAATACAACATGATTCCCACTAAAGAATGAGTCTCTCTCTTTTTCCTTCTGGTTGGAAAGAGAGGGATGGGAACATCTGAGAGTTCCTCCATAATCCTCTTCCATTTAAGGATGGCACCAGGGAATTCTCATCATTTCCTACCATTTCTGGCCACTTTCCTGAATTTCATCAACTCTAGAAACTCATTATTCTGCAGTAATGATCATTTCCTACTCTGGATGCATGAATTTAACAGGACCCTCTGCCATTTCACCTCCTAGCCAGGTTACTTACCCCCAACACCTCTTTTCAGCTTTTTTCTATATGTTGTTTGACCCCATTAGATTGTGAGTCGATTATGGGGGTTGGGGTGAGGGAGCAGGGACCTCTCATGACTTTTTTTGTATCCCCAGGCTTAACAGAGCGTCTGGTACATACTAGGTACTTCATAAATATTTATTGATTTTGACTCTGACTTGCTCCACCTTCCATGGGCATCTTTCCTTGCCTAGTGAGGCATTTATACTCTTAACTAGGGAAGGTGGTATTTTTTGTTCTGCTGAATCTTGTTACTTTTTAGTCCTTTGTGAAGTCAACTAGACCTTTCATCTAAGAGACAACTAACTCACCCTCCCTGCATTTTTACTATTTCTAGGATATAAAAAATCACCAGGAGACATCTGACAGAAATAAATAGATAAAGCTGTGAATAAGAACTCTTTATTCATTACTCCTAAGCATAAGCATTTGGGCCTTCTGGCTATCCAAGCAATGCCTTCGTTTGTAAGTCAATACTTAGTTTCCCAGATCTAGCCGCTTCTCTAAAGTGGTCAATGTTTTGTTGAGCAGACTTTGAATTTTTGAAGGCAGAGAGGCAGGACAGCATTTCAATTGAGGCTCTTTTGACTTGAGGGTTGGGTGATTAAGCTGGTCACTAGTGGAAATGTATTGATTGGCTGATGTATTTTCTGGAACCGATTTTTCTTTTCTGAAACATTTTGTCATGATGCATGATTTGGAATTTCTTCTCTGCCAAGGGGACATGACACAGCTTTCAGCCACTGAAATGAAGATATAACAATGAAAAAGAAAAATAAACTCTAATGGCTACATATTAATCCCACAAAGGTGAATTCAGATTTCGTCTCACACAGGGCTTGTCAGTCTTGTTTTATGAGTGAAATGTGAAGGGAGAATAGGCCCAGTTACAACATCTAGCTATACCAAATAGCTGGGTATATAGAAGGAATGAGGCCCATGCAATTTCTGATATTACAGAAAAAGAACAGGAACCAATAAATGTCTTGTCATTGTAGTAGAATGCTAGTAATGTTTTAGAATGGAGTTTGCCCTTTCATCCAAATAACATACAATAGTTCAGCTGACATAATACCTGTTGAAACTCTATACCTGAAACAGAGAGGTTAGGTAGAGGACAGTTTGAAAAAAAAAGAATCATTCAAAGGAAGAGAAATGTGTGTGAGTATATGTGTGTGTGTGTGTGTGTGTGTGTGTGTGCACATGTGTGTATATGTGTATGTGTGTATATATATGTGTGTATATATGCTGACATATTTTAAGTATTTTTAAATTTTTGTATTATTAATATTTCTTTGTACATGGCTTGTGTGTTACTGAATATAATCTGTTTCTCAAGACATCCTTGTAAATGATTTAATAGCAAGATTTTCCTGAGATAAACATTGCATCAACAGAGTATATTTTTATGTAAAATAGAGTCACCTTAGGGTGACAACATTATTAGAATAAAGGAAACAAAAGATCCCAGCCCTGAAAATTCTATTCAGGTCAGTTATTTAGCTGAAATGCCTCCTTTCCAGCCTCATCTTCCTTCTTTGCGCTCATGCCTCCCACATCACCAAATAACATAATGGATTTTGCAGAGATGAACATGAGTTGATTATGTAATTAGAGTTACATCTTTTCCTGTATTTGCTCAAATAGACTTGTTTCTATTCTACTAGCCTTGACTTTCATTTTGAAATGAAATTTCATTTTCCATTTCTTAAGATCTGTCAAGACAGACTGCTAGTATTGATAATCAATAAGAAAAATATGCCACCAAAATAGGAAATCAAATTTGAAGTTTAATTTGTGTATATGTGCGTGTGTACTTTCATTACCATAGAAATGTAATACATTCTCTTGATTTTGCTAAATTCATGATTTCCTCTTTTCTAAATGTAACAAGAATAGGAATGGTTTTCTCTGGTCTGTATAGTTTTCTATTTTTTTTAATCCATTGGCAGTATTCTGGTGATTTTTTTTTAATATTACAAATCTATAACCTAAGAACAAATAAATTTGGGGGTAAAAAAATTAAACCAGAAGAAGCAGTTATTAGAGTGATGATTTGGATTAAACAATATGAAAGTGTTTCTGTTAAAGATAGTTATCAGTGATAAATATAACCAGAAGTATATTAAGCTTTTGTTTTTAACAGCATTGCATAGTAGGAAGAGCACTGGACTTTGTATCAAAAGACCTGGGTTTAAGATTAAGCCCTAACATTTATTAGTTATGCCATGTGACCTCAATTAAATCACTTAACCTCTTGAGGACCCAGTTTGTTCATTTGTACAGTGAACTCATTACAAAACTCATTTCAAAGTAGTATAAGAAAAGTGCTTTGTTAATTTTAGAGCCTTGCATCTATTCATATTCACAAATATACATATGCATTCACATACATATGTGTATGTATATATACACATACGTATGTAAACACAAAAACATATGTGTATGTGTGTATATGTACATAATGATAGAGTGATGATGTGATTACTCACTTCTAGTCCAGTTAAAAGGATAAGATGCCTAATCAACAAATTCAGTCATAGGCATTAGACTAAGGGGAAAATGGCCTTCAAATTGAAATAAAGTTGCACAAGAATCTGGGATTTGTGGGTGAGGAAATTTGACCACTCCCTGAGGATCATTTGTAAATTATCAAACAAGTTGAGAAATGATTAATTTCATAAATTGGAACAAATGTGGCTTTCTAGCATAGCCTGGGTGGGAAGGCAATGCCTCAGCCTTGGTCTTGGCCAAGTATCTTCCTTTTTTTTTTAACTGTGAAGTATTTTAAGGATTTTCAGCTTCCTACCTTCTCATCAGTCCTATCCCTATCCCAGCTCTCCCCCTCTCCTTTCTCTGCCTCTGTTTCTGTCTCTGTTTCTGTCTGTGTCTCACCCACCCACCCACATAATTATATATTTGCATCTATGAATATATGTATATGTACGTATATGTGTGCACAAACATATTTATATATATACATATATATGTATAATTGATTACTATTTTAATTGTATTAAAATGTTAATTTCTAAGTCTAGATGCATAAGAATAGGAAATTCCTCTGCTGCTATGTGAGGAAGGCAAAAGCATTTTTCTTTGAGGTTGTGGGGGCAGAGTGAAGAAATATATGAAATTAACTGCTGGATAACAAGAACTCAATTTATTTACTGCCTTACAAAGTTTTCATGCATTCAGATCTGGCACTCTTCTTAATAATATTTTTCAAAATATATTTGAGTACTCACTAATAATCTTATATTTGCATAGCAACTTTTAAAATATTTAAATACTTTCCATATTTTTAAAATATTTTCCTTTTCTGTAAGGCACTTGTGATTTTATGGATGATACAGGGAACTCCCAGGGAGGAAACTAGACAAATACAGATCTTCAGCTCTTTAATAAGAATTGAACTGAAAGGTAATGACTTGTCCAGGGTCACACATCCAAGATATGTCAAAGAAAGAACTTGCAATCTGGGTTCCCTTAATCCAAGTCCTTACCTGTTTTCATGTTTATATACATATATACATATATATATATATATATATATATATATATATATATGTATATATATATGTATAATGATGTTAATAACAATAATCACTAGCATTATTATAGTGCTTTAAACTTATTAAGCACTCTACATATCTTACCTCATTTGATCCTCATAATAATCCTGTGAGACAGGTGTAATAATTATTCCCATTTTAGAGAGGAGGAAACTAAGACTGATAAAGGTTTTAGTGACTACATCAAGATTGTAAAACTATTTAGTACTTGAGGGAAGTTTAAAACTCAGATGTACTTGATTCCAGGTCTAGACCTCTAATGACTTCTCTACCTATGTGCCTGTGTGTACAATTGTCTCTGTAGATTAATAGATAATACATATAATGCTGGGTATATGCATTTATATAGCCCTAATACATACACATATGTTTGTATATATTTATATATACATGTGTGTATGTATATTTGTGTGTGTATATATATATATATCACATTTCTCTGATCTCTTTTTTCTTGTTTTCATGTTACCCTTATAGATTTTATTTCAAGGTGTTTTCCCCCCAAAAAAATGAGATTAGTAAATTTTAAATATCTTGGGAATGAAGTGATGACTATAGCAAGAGAAAAAGCTAATATTTTGAATTTGTATGATTCTGTTCCTTGTACCTACCCCTCCTGGCTTTCCCTAGCAGGCCTGTCCACAATGGGTTAACATGACTGTAAGAATGCAAAGAAACATGGATACCTAAGAAGCTATAATCAGAGAAGTGATTCCATTATAGAGTTCCTGAGACTGCCTTCAAGTATTCAAGCCTAGGCTACTGTTGGGACAAAGGCCTGATTAGACATTCACCATTTTCTAGCCCAGAAGTCAAAATGATTACTCCCTACCTTTTTTTTTTACACCATTTTCATCTTCTCCTCATAAATTGCAAAAGCATGGGAGGGTCATGGTTCATGAAACAGTTTTCCTTCCGATTATAGTAATTTAAAGGCAAATCAAATGTAGGGCCTAGACAAGCTGACAGTGCCCTTTTTAATATCTTCTTCCAATTTTTGTACATTCTGCAGATTCGAATGCACAGAGCCAAGTGCCTGAAATATAATTGGGCCAGGTGTGCATGTGTTTTAAAGACTATATTAGAAAAGCATGCTTATCAAAGTCAGGCTGATGGCTTGGAGGTCAGGTGATGGTTTCATTAGGTGAAAATAAGGTCACTGAAAGAGAGAAGAGAGGGAAAATGTTATTTTCAGCTTGTAAAATTACATAGTGGATGGGCAATAGAAAAGTAAAATAATGCTTGACTGAACCAGGAAATCCAGTTGCCATTGTAGTAGAACTCTCACAAAGAACAATGCTTTTCCTCTGATCTCTCTCTTTCTCTCTCTATCTTCCCATTTACTTATTTACTCATGTATGATTTTATTTATTCATTCCTGTATTTATTTAGCTATATCTTTATTTATTCCTTCACTCAGTTTTCTATCTATTTGTCTGTCTGTCTATCTATCTATCTATCTATCTATCTATCTATCTATTGGATAATTTGTAGTCAAAGGTGTTTAAAAAGTGCAAGTGGGATGGGTGCTATGTCTTATTCTAGCAAGAAGTTACTCTAATTTGGAGGGAAACTAGGAATATTCAGAGCAAAGAATCAGTGGAATATCCCTTTGGTCTTCTATTGATATGGAATGGCATTGGGATCTTTATGTAATGTTAATAATATATTAAGACTCTTTGAAAAGGAAGAATTCATATATAAGATTCATATTAGGATTCTTTCTTCATCAAAATGTTACCAGTGATCATATCACCATGGCGGATTTTAACTTCTTTACTGTTGCTATTTTAGTTAATAATACTCACATTGATATCTGCCTTGTGCTTACTGATTTTTTAATGCCATCTAATTCAGGGCAGTGGATAATCTAAGTCCATCTTCTTCTTTTTGAGTGTTGCTACCAGAATCCAAACTGGTGTATGTATTGTTTTTATAAGATCTACTAGCCTGTGGGAAGACAAAGAAGCTGGGATCTCCGGTCTGCTTTCCTGCAGAAGAGAGGGTTGGGAGACTTTAAAATTAAAGGACATCAAACTAAGTAAAGGCTGATGCTCTTTTCTACTCCTCCCACCCCCACTGTGCATATTTGATCTATTATCAATCACTGCTCCCTTCAGAACAACTCCTATATTTGTTACCTTCTCTCCATTCACTTAGATACAAACCAAGTTTGAGCTCTCTCCACCTTTTAATCAAATTATCTTTGTAATAGATTTCCTTGTCTCATGTCTCTCCCCTCTCCAAGCCAACTTCCACTCAGCTCTCAAGGTGATTTTTCAAAACCTTAGATCAATTTCTGTCTCCTACCCTACTTGATGAGCTCCAGTAGTTCTCTATTATCTGCAGGATTAAATATAAACTTCTCTAGTTGGCATTTAGAGCTCTTCATTACCTGGCCTTTTTCTACCTTGCCAGACTTTTCAACTTTACACTTCTCCTCTGACTTTTTTTGATGCAGCTCTACTGGCCTATTTGTTATTCTTTAAAACCAACACTCTGTCTTTCATATTGGTGTATTTGCATTGGCTGTCTCTCATGATTGGAATGCTCTGTCTCAGGGATTCCTTGGTTTCCTTCAAGATTCAACTCCAGCCTTACCTTTTTTTTTTTTAAGGCAATTGGAGTTAAGTGACTTGCCCAGGGTCACACAGCTGGTAAGTGTCTGAGGCCAGATTTGAACTCAGGTCCTCCTGACTCCAGGGCTGGTGCTCTATCCACTGTGCTACCTAGCTGCCCCACAATCCTTATCTTTTGCAGGAGGCTTTTTCTGGTCTTCCCAGCTTCTATTTTCTTCTTTCAAACGACTTCTTATCTACTTTGAATATATCATGTATGTACTTAGTTATTTACATGTTGTATCCTTCATTAAGTATAGCCCTTAAAGACTATGACTATTTTTTGCCTTTATTTGTGTATTTATTACCTAAATTATAGTAAAGATTTAATAAATGCTAGTTAGTTGACAAACTGATAAACTGACTGCTGGTGATGATGGAAAAACATGTGTAGAACAGAGGTGTCAAACACATGACCCACAATACTCCCTAAAGTGGCACAATTCACATTAAAATATATTTGAGAAATATTTAATGAAATAAATAAAAACTAAAACATATATAATGTTAACATCCATTTTTCTAAGTCAATTTGTGCTGGCAAGGATTTTTATGTACAGTTTGGTGGCCCTTGTTTCTATTTGAGTTTCACACTACTGGTATAGAAGACTATTTTGGCCACAATGATACTTGTAATCTTTGAGTTGATTGGTACATAAGAATGAAATCTCTTACTCTTACTAATTACATTATAACATATTTTATTTCATATGTTCCCAGAAGAATTAGTCCCATAGTTCGAACAGGGATCAATCTTGCAATCTATATGTTCCAGCATTATAGAGCAATGTCAAGAAATGAGAAAGCTCAGCACCAGTGAAATTCCTTTAGTGAATTTATGGGATACATCCCATCCATATGAGAGGCTCCCCTAGGCCAAGCAATCCTTTCTATAGTAAATATCTATTTAGGAAACTAAAATGGATTTAGATGTTAGCATCAGTAATCAATCAAGTATTTATTAGTCTCCTATTATATGATGATCAATCAATCAGCAAACATTTGTTAAGCAACTACTATGTGACAGGAACTATTAGTGCTTAGGGATGCAAAGACTAAAGAGATGTATAAAAAGGTAATATGAGGTGGTATGTGGGATGACAAACAAATGGTCCTGACAAATGGAAGCAGTGAGATGTTGAAGAAAGTTAAAATCGCTCCTTCTTCCCTCTGCAGTGGTCAGGAAATACTTCACAAAAGACAAGGTCCTAGAGTTGATACTGTTACCATTTAATGTTCAGAATGGAATGGTATAAGGGATGCCAATGAGCCTAATTATACAGCAAGATGTGACATCTATGAAAGATGATAATGAAAAAACTAAGGATGATGAAGGATAGTACAAGCTGTTACAAGAAAACACTTTAAGAGCAGACTGGACAATCAAAATTATCTTAAATCTTTAAAAGATTTTCTTTTTTTCTGACATGATCATCTTATTTATTTATTATTTTATGTTTTAATTTTTTTCAATTTTATTACTTTGTTGATTTATCAATAATCACTTTCATATGCTTTTGAGTTGAAGATTTTTCTCCCCCTTCCTCCCCACCACCCTCCCCAAGACAGCACAGAATCTGATATAGGCTTTACATTTTCATTCCTATTAAACATATTTTCACATTAGTGATCTTGTAATTGAAAATTTAAACCAACAGGAGGAACCATCAGAAAGATGAAACAAAAGAAGAAAACAGAAGGTAAAAATAAGTGATAGCCATTCCACTTCCATAGCACTTTCTTTGGATGTGGACAGCATTTTCCAACCCGAGGCCTCTGGAGATGTCTTAGATCCTTGTAATGCTGACAAGGGTTCAGTTTAACAATATTAGTCATTGCATAACATGTCTGTTATTGTGTACGAAGTCCTCTTGGTTCTGCTCACTTCACTCAGCATCAGATCATATAAGTCTTTCCAGGTTTTTCTGAAGTCAGCCTGTTCATCATTTCTTATACCACAATAGTATTCCATTACATTCATATACCACAACTTGCTCAGCCATTCCCCAATTGGGGGGCATCACCTCAATTTCCAATTCTTTGCCACCACAAAAAGAGCTGCTATGAATATTTTTGTACATGTGGGTCCTTTTCCCATTTGTTTGATCTCTTTGGGATATAGCCTAGAAGTGCTATTGCTGGATCAAAGGGTATGCACATTTTTGTAGCCCTTTGGGCATAGTTCCAAATTGTTCTCCAAAATGGTTGGATCATTTCACAACTCCACCAACAATGTATTAGTGTTGCAATTTTCCCACATCTTCTCCAACATTTATTATTTTCCTGTTTTGTCATGTTGGCCAATCTGATAGGTGTGATGTGGTACCTCAGAGTTGTTTTGATTTGCATTTCTCTAATCAATAACGATTTAGAGCATTTTTTCATATGACTATAGATGGCTTTAATTTCTTCATCTGAGAACTGTCTGTTCATATCCTTTGACCATTTATCAATTGGGGAATGGCTTGTGTTCTTATAAATTTGTCTTAATTCTCTATATATTTTAGAAATGAGGCCTTTATCAGAGAGACTGGTTGTAAAAATTCTTTCCCAATTTTCTACCTTCCTTCTAATCTTAGTTGCATTGGCTTTGTTTGTGCAAAAACTTTTCAATTTAATGTAATCAAAATTATCCATTTTGCTTTTCATAATGTTCTCTATCTCCTGTTTGGTCATGAATTCTTCTGTTCTCCATAGATCTGATAGGTAAACTATTCCTTGTTCTCCCAGTTTACTTATGGTATCAGCCTTTATATCTAAGTCATGAACCCATTTTGACTTTATTTTGGTATATGGTGTGAGATTTGGGTCTATGCCTAGTTTCTGCCATACTCTTTTCCAGTTTTCCCAGCAGTTTTTTTCAAAGAGTGGGTTCTTATCCCAGAAGCTGGGGTCTTTGGGTTTATCAAATAATAGATTACTATAGTCATTGACTACTGTGTCTTGCATATTTAACCTATTCCACTGATCCACCTCCCTATTTCTTAGCCAGTACCAAGCAGTTTTGATGATTGCTGCTTTATAATACAATTTAAGATCTGGAATTGCTAGGCCACCTTCCCCTGCATTTCTTTTCATTAGTTCCTTTGATATTCTGGACCTTTTGTTTTTCCAAATGAATCTTGTTATTATTTTTTCTAACTCTATAAAATAATTTTTTGGTAGTTTGATTGGTATGGCACTGAATAAGTAAATTAGCTTAGGTAGGATTGTCATTTTTATTATATTAGCTCGGCCTACCCATGAGCAACTGATGTTTTTCCAATTATTTAGATCTGATTTTATTTGTGTGAAAAGTGTTTTGTAATTGTGTTCATAGAGTTCCTGGGTTTGTTTCGGGAGGTAGACTCCTAAATATTTTATAATGTCTACAGTAAGTTTAAATGGGATTTCTCTTTCTATCTCTTGCTGTTGGGCTTTGTTGGTAATATATAGAAATGCTGATGATTTATGTGGGTTTATTTTATAGCCTGCAACTTTGCTAAAGTTGTTTATTATTTCAAGTAGTTTTTTACTTGATTCTCTAGGATTCTCTAAGTAT